GGAAAAGTGGGCGTCCCAGTTTTAGGCATGGCTTCTGGATGGATACTGCTGGATTATAAATAGCACGTAATAGGACAGCCATAGGACAGTCATCAAATAGCCTATATTTTCTGCTGACTGAACATTTATGATCTCTTCTTCATTAACCGTGAGGAGGAAGATGGTACCCTTTTTCCCTATGGCAAGTTGACGACTGTTTCTGGTTTTTAGAAGGAAAACCTGGGCAAGGTTGGATTTGGTAGAAACTTCAATATGTACTTCTCTTCGCTCTCTTTTCAGCTGTGTGCTTTCTCAGTCCCCGTTAAACATCTGATCTGGACAAAACGTTAGGAAATTTAACTTGTACCAGCTACTTTGCTCAGTACAGAGGTCATTATCGTGCTTAATAGTTATGACAGAAAACTGGCAAAGTAGGTTTCTGCCCAAGTTACACTCCAAATGATGTTGAACTGTATCTCACTTCAACCATCTATAAATTAGAGTAACTTCTCTATCACAGTATTGAGTTTAATTAACTAATAATTATAAAGGACTATGCGATTGCTTGCTATCATTACAGCTATAGCAGAATTCAGCCACAGTAAGTTGATTTATTTTCTTGGAGTTATTTTTAATTTATCTTTTTCTGTTTCAACCACACACAAGAGATACTGCCTTCGGTGGGGAGGGCAAATCTCTTCTTCCTGTCAGCCCTCTTGTAGAAACCTGACCTGTCTCGTTAAAAATAGGGTGCCCTTAAAGAGATGGACTGCTTAGATGGTAATTCTTTATAAGCACTATTTAGCACAAGTATCATCATGCTGTTTCCTCAAGAAACGAAGTGCTAAGCCTGTTGAAAAAAAGATGTCTAAGGGTACTAATTATGCAGACAAAAGTACAAATGGGCCAGATATCTTAAAACAAGGAGTGAGATAATGACTTCTTTGGCAGCCTGTATTTAGTATATGTTGCACCTTTCCGTCCCAATTCATCTTTGAGCTTCTCTTTTCCTTGTATTTAGGGAGCTTTTTTCTTTTTCTGTGTTTGCTGCGAAAGAAAGAAGTAGTCTTACACATGCTGCCAGGTCCTCCTGCTGTCAGTGTTGTTTTCTAGGCTCAGGAGCATATATCAAGGCTAATCAGTGATGTCAGCCTGTATTTAGTATATGTTGCACCTTTCCGTCCCAATTCATCTTTGAGCTTCTCTTTTCCTTGTATTTAGGGAGCTTTTTTCTTTTTTTTTTTTTTGTGTTAAATAAGAAAGAAGTATTTTTTCTTATGCTTGCTCCTCCTGCTGTCAGTGTTGTTTTCTAGGCTCAGGAGCATATATCAAGGCTAAGCAGTGATGACGTTCTCCAGAGAGCTCTCCATGGCTGAGCCTTGGAGGATGGCTCTGCATCCACCCAGCCAACTTCTCAAAATTCTGCTTGGTTTCACACTGAGCATCTCCAGGTAGAATTTAAACATAAAGGATCAGCCTGAAGACGCCATGTTAAAATTAAGCCATTTTGTTCACGGAATGAAAAACTTCCTAGTGTGTATTTCTGGGAAGCTGTAGAACATTAGAGAGTTCTGCTCCTCACTTACATCAAACTACAGTATAGAAGTAAAAATCAGAACGTGGATTTTGAAGTAATAGCTCATGTGCCAAACCTAGCAGTGCAGTCACAAGTGCCATGCACAAGAAGACAAACAAAAAGAAAAAAAGGATGAGAGAGCAAGCAATTTGCATTGAAGGCTGTCGCTTCATCCTTCACTAACTTTATGGTTCTTAGTCCCTTTGGGATTGTAAATATTTAACTAAAATTATTTAATCTTGATGTCCTTCATCAGAGGTATTTGAAGATCACTTTCAGTGTGCTAAATTTTAATATTGGGTGGGGTTTTTTTCATGGATTGAAAACAGAAATGGTTTTCCAGCTGACCACTGGGTGCGGAGACCCTCAAAGGGCAAACTCAGAGTAGACGAGAGTGGAGACAGTTTCTCTAGACTGAAGGCTACCATTTCTACAACTGCAAAGCCCTGTCAGCTTTATACAGGGATCATGGAAAACTAGAAATAAAATGCTCTGCAAGAAAGACGCTTGTTTCTGTTCTGTTCTTTTCAAACACAGTGTATTTTTTCTGGTACAATTATTTGAGTAATACAGTTAAACTCAGAGTAGACGAGAGTGGAGACAGTTTCTCTAGACTGAAGGCTACCATTTCTACAACTGCAAAGCCCTGTCAGCTTTATACAGGGATCATGGAAAACTAGAAATAAAATGCTCTGCAAGAAAGACGCTTGTTTCTGTTCTGTTCTTTTCAAACACAGTGTATTTTTTCTGGTACAATTATTTGAGTAATACAGTTAGTGACTAAAATTACATTTTCTTCTAAAATTTTAGCCCATAAGCATTTTCTGTCTCACTTTAAAAAAGCAGATTTAAGAAAAATAACTTAATCAGTGTCAACTGTTGGTTCAAGTTAATGTGATTCCTTTCCAGCCATGATCTAATTTCAATAATTAATTTACATCAGGGTATCTGTTCTGCATGAGAATTATCTTGACAAATAAACTAGCATGTTCCAAATAAGTAGCTTGCATTCCTGTATTCTGCCTTCTTTCTACAGCTATTTTGGCTATAAAGTACCAGTTATATGTGGTATTTCCCGCTTCCAACTTGTTCTACCACACCTAATACTCTCTCATTAAATAAACAGAGCAGGTCAAACTGTTTAAAATTATGTGTTTTCTGTGGTAGTGGCTGGTTTTTTCCCCCAAGAATTTTCCCTCTACAGCTTGAATCAAATGACACAGCGGCTAAGTAGTAGATTTGCGCTAAAGCACTGCTTAGTAGTTATATCATTTGGAAGAACACAATCATTATGAGCACTAAACCACTCTGTCCGTCGTGTAAAAGGAAAATGTCAGCCTAGAGCTAGTTCCATCAACTTGTAAATATACTTGGTGTATAGGAAATGGAACAGAACTGGTGTGTGATTCTGTAAATCACCTTCAGCTCTATCTTATGGGTTGACAACACCCACATTATCTTTCATTTCACTGTCCTTAAGTAAAGCACAGTAATATCTGTCCTGTGCTTTACATTCATTGTCCATCTTTGTCTTATGGAAGCAGTAGCACATAGTTGTCAATCCACCTCAGCCCTGCCTTTAATTCTAAAGGGAGAACAAAGGGTATTTTGAAAAGATGTACTTCAGCTGGTTTACAAGTAATTTGACTGTTGCCCGAAAACTGTCCTCCTCTTATTCTATAAATAATGAGAGTAAACAACACATTATAAAATATCTGTGTTGCTTCGATGCCTTTCAACCTCCATGCTGGGAAATAACAGGTTGAAATCCTGTGAAGGTCTATAATTTTTGTTCACAATATGAAAATGCCATTTAAATCTGGGGGAAAAGGAGGAGAGTGCCCTGAGCAAACAGTAACTATCTGTGGCTGAAGATCCTGCCAAGTTTTGGGGTTTTTTGCATTAGCTCTGATTGAGTTCTTAAGTGACTCTAAAGTTCAAATTTTTGTGGGAAGTGTTTTCCATCAAGAAATATTAGGTGATTTAAGGGTTGATCTTTCCTAAATTTCCTTTCAGATTTCTTTTCTTCAGTTAGGTAGATAAATTAAAAAAGCCTTTCTGATGCTGACACTGTGAAAGCAGTAGCTGAGGGCATTGTCAATCAGGGATAATATCTCTAGTGACTCACTCTGAAATGCTGGCCTTCCTTCATACCCTAGGAACTATGTCACCCTCAAAGCTTCTTGAGATTTTCCTTCCAGGAACAATTCTGATCTTAAACTATGAATCTCACAAAGGAATTCCTGAATGAAAACTGCTTTCTGTCTAAAACAAGCCCAGAGGATTACTGCTCCCAGTAGGTTTTGAGATGCCCAGTTACGAGCTCCGAATTCCCCACCTCAAACTCGATCACTGCAGTTCATCGCAGCACGACCGGTTCGGGTGGGATGGGGTTTCACAGCATGAGGAAAATTCACCTCTTCTTCTGAGGTTCAGCAGAAGCTGATGGCTGAATGCCGTTAACACAGAATAAAACCTTACATGCCGTATAAATGTTACATGGGTGTTATGCTGGTCCTCTACAAGAGGGAGGAAACACTGTCTTTGCTCCATTGGATCCATTGGAATACTCCGCTCCCCTGCAGTGACTTCTGAACTCCTTAACGAACCCCACAGCTGCTGCAGTAGCTCCAGCCAGACTGAAACCTGAAAGCTGCCGAGCCCCCGATAAATGCCTTCGTAACCCACCGTTGCCTGCCTTGTTCCACGTAGGGATGTGGCCTTGCGGGGAATGGCACCCTGTGCAGATTGCTGGCTATTCTTGTCTCTCTCTCTTTGGGGATCGGTAGCAACATGAGATATATTAACTCACTTTATGCCTTCTTTTGATATTGTATAAATAGAAGCTACATTAACATTTTTGTGAAGCTGAAGTTAAACTTGTCTTCTCTGCGCTTTTACTTTGATTGCGGTCATGACGTAATGCTTACAGCGATTCCATCTGACAACTAATGAACCATGAATCCGGGGGCAGTTTAGTGTTCGATACCTGCCAGTGAGGCATTTTGTCAAATAACCTACCTTCTGAATCTATTGTGATCTGGCTATCTCCCTTATAGTATTTGGCTGATAGTCCTGTAGTTGTATAACCTAAGACTGATGAGGAAATAAAAGCACAAAGAATTGCTACCCACTTAAAAATTTATAGTGATGGATTTGGACATTTAATCATTCCATTGCAGAAAAAGAGCTGCCTGGAAGCTGCGTGTCGTTTGTGAATTGCTCTTCTCTCCTGTCATTTCTCTCTACTGTTCTTATAAACATCTTATAAGTGCAACCTTACTTTACAACAAGTAGTTTCTTCCATGCCAAGTCTGACAAGTGGGTTTCGTGTCTTACTTGTTTTATTTTTCAACATGTTTCAATAACTCTGGTTTGACATGTTATTGCTTTCTTAATGGTGATTTGTAATCCTATACAAACTAGCTGTGTTTTATATTGATAGTGCGAGAAGCAAAAAACCTAATTCCCATGGATCCAAATGGACTTTCAGATCCTTATGTTAAACTGAAGCTCATCCCAGATCCTAAGAATGAAAGTAAACAAAAAACAAAAACCATCCGTTCTACTCTGAATCCAGACTGGAATGAGTCATTCACTTTGTAAGTTTAACACCTTTTAATATAGTATCTTTGTATGGATTGAATCATTTATTTCAGCGTTGCATTGAAAACTCCTCTATTTCTCTCCTTTTTAGTAAATTAAAACCTACAGACAAGGATCGACGGTTATCTGTAGAGGTCTGGGACTGGGATCGAACAACCAGGAATGATTTCATGGGATCTCTTTCATTTGGGGTGTCAGAGCTTATGAAAATGCCAGCCAGTGGATGGTAAGAGTTTCGGAAAAGAGAGAAGGAGAGAATATATCACAAAAAGTTTAAAATCAGTATTTTTCTTCAACATAGTCGACGTTTTTTGGAGCTTTTCACTGTATCTCAGGCTATAAACTCACTGAAAATGCAACTAAACCTAGGAAACATAGGCTATATATAACAAAGGAGGATAATAAAAGGAATGCTTTTCTTCTGTGTTGTTCATGAAACTTCTGCTGGAGCCAGGAGCTGCTGCAAACTCAATTCTGTGTACATAGTCTTGTGATATGAATTTTATTTTTATCTCAAATATGATATATTCATTACTAAGTGTATCATGTTATATATAGCTCTGCAAATTCAAAGTACATGGGAACTGACTTAATAAATGCCATCTTATTACCTACGAAGCTAGGGGTAGAACTCATCACATCTTCTCAAAAAGTACATCTCATCCAAGATAATTGTTTAGGGCTATAGAAGCACTGGAGACAAAGGTTCTTCAGGGTTGGTGTCTCCCATCATATCACAGGATGGGAGGGAAGAATTTCCTTGTCCGTTAAACTGCCTTGGCACACAGTTTGGGATTAAAGATCTAATTTTAGGTTAAATATATTCTGTTTCTGAGTTTGCTTTAGAACTTTGAAAGCAGTTCTTTACATACCTGTGACATTGATATAAACCACACACAAACAACTAAATCCGATTTTAAATCTAACAGGAATATAACTGTAAAGTCACCATTTTTTTCTTAAATGTTCCACAGGTACAAGCTGCTGAATCAAGAAGAAGGTGAATATTATAATGTTCCAATTCCAGATGCTGATGAAGATGGAAACGCAGAGCTCCGACAGAAGTTTGAGGTGAGGATTAAACACAAATGGGTGCAACTACATTTTTCACTTTATCACAAAAATTGCCTGTTAAAAAGTTGTATATTAGAGTGCTACTATTTCCATTGCCTGTGACAGCAGTACGTACCTTTGGGTTTCTTGAAGATTGGACCAAGTGATTTAATTCAGTAGTGGTATCATTTTTCTGACAGTTCAACTTCTCTGCTATGACACTTAAAATATTTTAAAATACCAACTTATAAGTCAAGTATATGTAATAATTTCAGTGTATTTTAATATGCTGCAAAAGGTTAAATATATTCTGTTTCTGAGTTTGCTTTAGAACTTTGAAAGCAGTTCTTTACATACCTGTGACATTGATATAAACCACACACAAACAACTAAATCCGATTTTAAATCTAACAGGAATATAACTGTAAAGTCACCATTTTTTTCTTAAATGTTCCACAGGTACAAGCTGCTGAATCAAGAAGAAGGTGAATATTATAATGTTCCAATTCCAGATGCTGATGAAGATGGAAACGCAGAGCTCCGACAGAAGTTTGAGGTGAGGATTAAACACAAATGGGTGCAACTACATTTTTCACTTTATCACAAAAATTGCCTGTTAAAAAGTTGTATATTAGAGTGCTACTATTTCCACTGCCTGTGACAGCAGTACGTACCTTTGGGTTTCTTGAAGATTGGACCAAGTGATTTAATTCAGTAGTGGTATCATTTTTCTGACAGTTCAACTTCTCTGCTATGACACTTAAAATATTTTAAAATACCAACTTATAAGTCAAGTATATGTAATAATTTCAGTGTATTTTAATACTTGCTGCAAAATCTGCCAGCCGTTATCACTAGTATCTATAATATTTGATAAATGAAGTTCTCAGAAACAACAGTTTAATACTTAGAATGTTTCACACTAAATGGGGGGGGGGTTTAAGAAAATATTTACAGTGTTAATTACTGATTATTTGGAGCTTCAAAATCTTTGTAGAAGGTTGTCATCTAAAATTCTGATATCTTTAACGTGGGTATGGAAGTTTTTAAGGATCAGAGGTATTGCTGGTTATGTACAGAAAAGAAACACTGAAGAAAAGCGATACTTTCCGCAGAGTCTTCCTGCCTTCTGTGGTGCAAATTGGAGTGGTTGGTAGTCACAAGCATGGTCTCACCGTGCCATGCAAAGGAGTTGTTTCTTAATGAGCAGACTTAGCCAGCAACTCTGCCTCTTCTGACAGCTGCAGCCGATATTACAGCAACATACTTGCTGGCCACTAAACCCAGCAACAGGAAAGGTATGGTTTGGGGAGGGAGGTGTTTTGCTAATGGCTGCACTGGGTTCAGCTCATCTGACTTGACTGCTCTTTCCAGCTGCATATGCAATAATGAATATGAAATATTCCAATCTACAATATTGTTTTCTTTTTTTCTGGTCGAACGTTTACAACTTCAGTCTAGCTGTTTATCCAAAAAGTAATTAATGTACCTGTAGTGCATAAACAAACACTTACACCTGTTCCTCTCAACCTGAAATGGCAATTTTTTATGTTCACCATCAGGCAGAATTCTACATTGTTATTATAAAAGATGGGTTAACCCAAGGAAGTGAGGAAAAACGGCATATGTTCAACTTTCAAGAAAGAAAAAGAAAAGGTGCATCAATTTCTTCTGAACACATTTGGATCAGCTACCATACTTTTGTCTGCAGCATGAACTATGATTTTTGTTATACATTTGAGAAGTATTTGAATCTCCATTTCATTTTCCTTTCTTTACAATTGTGATCTGACCAGTGTGATTTTATTTTGCTGCACTAGGTCATTTTCTATTTAAGATCATATTTACTTTTTATCCTTCCTAGAAAGAATAGCGTCAAAAGTAATTCTTTTCACCCCTTACATGTCTCTGTGCAATATACAGAGTCTGGAATTGGGTGGATGTGTGTATGTTGGCGATATAAGTATGGAAATCTACCTGGTTTTTCTCAGGACAGAGGCAGCACAAAGAAGTCACTAAAATTATCTATTTTAAAATATCAGTTATTACATGCAGTATGTTTGCATATTGAATTTACAATCTCTTAGGGTTTTTTTTCTTAAGCCTACAACATCGGTTGCAGAATGAACAATCAGGGTTTATCTGTGTCCTGCAATGAAGTGGAGTAGAAATCCTGAGAGGTTGCAGCATGTAAAGCTATTGGACTGGGTCCCAGAAACGGCAGCTTCGCATAGGGTCAGCTCTGCCCAAGAAATAATTAGTCTGTCTCAAAGTCTAATTAGTTCAGCTTCAGCACCGTGTATTTGAGGCTTTCCCTGATCTGGAGGTAGCCTGGTTGATGCTATTTTAGGGGTCTGAATTAATCAAGGAAAGGGAATATGTTCTCAGTGAACACAGTGTCTCCAGGAATACCATTTACAGAGTTGCATAACAAACAGTTTTAAAACTTAGTGACGATATATGGGAATACTGGTAGCCAAACAAAATGTGTAATTATAACTAGACCAAGGCTAGTATAATGCAGTATTACATGGTAAAAGGATTTAGGGTTGACCTCTTACTCTTTCTCAAAGTTTACCACTGTGAGAAGGAATGGAGGGAAGCGGCACCCTCCAAGTAACGTTCTTGCTTGGTTTCAAGGGGAATTACTGTGATGGCTTATAAAAATTAACAGCACAGATGTCTGAATGGTGGTATTTAGCTTATTAGCTATTCTGGTACGGTACATAAGTGGTGCTGACTCTGATCATCTTTTACACTATTTTTCTTATCAGTTATATCTTGGCTTACATAGTCATTTTATTTTAGGTACCCTATACTAAGGAACAAGTAGATAGCGCTGAGAAATATGCTGCTATTTATGATGTAATGACATCATCTAAATAAATATTTCCACTCTTCTGAAATCAGCTTTGAAACCTTACAGGAAGAAGATTACAGATCTTGACTGCCATTTTACTAGGGGAGTGTATTTGTCAGGAAGATTCAGAATATAGATAGACCGAGAGGTCATACTGGGCTATCTTCTCGTTTATCAGTTTATAGAAAAGAGTAACTTCAGAGCGCTTGCTAATCAAGTCTACATTTGTGGTGCGTGGTCTACTTTTCGATATATGACAGTGTGATTGATATCTAAGCTACATTGATTTAATTTTGAGTTCAAGATTACAATTTCTACAAAAGTATTGCATTACTAATATCAAATACTTAAAATGAATAATGGTGGTCTTCAGAGTAAAGAGCTATATACAAACCTAAGCTATGCAAGAATAGAGAAGCTTTAGGATGAGAATTTCATTGCTTAATATTAAGAAAGAATAAGAATATTTTCGGGTTATAAAAGATCAGAGAACCGGTAGATGTGAAATTTCCGAAACCAGTTTCTGGTCTTAAAAAAAAAAAAAAGTCGATGACATTCTCAAAACTGACTTTGCCCTTTTGACTAAGGTTTAGAAATGTGCTTAGTAGAATCTCCAAGAGCACTTAGGAGCTACCTCCCATTTAAATCAATGAGAATTTTTAAAATATCTGCCTGCATCTATAGTTCAACAGACATGTTTAAGATTTGGCCTCAAGCTCTCATTGATTTCAAACTGTTTACACAATCCTATCACATCCTTCTAGCTCCACTTTAACAACCCAGACTTTTATTTAAATGTGGTTATTAGTCACACAAATCTCATTGGTACGCTGCTTTACTTACTGGGCCTTCTGACACAGATTCTTTAAGTCATTTATTTGATGTAAATCTACCATAATATAGCTATACGAGATTATAAATAAGTAAATAAATAATAGATTGAAACATTCTCTTCACTTGCACTTGTAATGGAACAGTAAAAACTATTTGTCATGAGAAAAAGTTTCCTCATGGCCCATTCCGCCAGATCTAAACCAGTTGAAAAATTCACACCTTACTTGTGCCCAGTAGTTCTAGATCCTGTCCAACAAATGGGACCAAGAAAGAGAAGAGTTGAGGAGGACAGTGGTTTCGTTAATGGAATCATGCAGTGACCTCGCTGAGTATTTTTAGATTTTACTACAAGGAGTTTTCTTTTTATAGACTGTCTATGTATTATCTATATGAAGTTGTACAGCATATAGAAATTGAGGTATGTTATGCATAGGTGCCGTGCAGTATTTTTTATACAACAAATTTTAATCGATCTACATGTTTTCTGGATCTCACCTGTCACTAAAACTTACGAATCAATTATCTGCTCATTTAGCAGTATGATCAAATCTGTCTTCAGTGATTTATAGATGATACATCATCCCTAATATTTAGAGATAAAAATATACTCCTGTAGGAAGTGGAGGCAGGATAAAATCTGTCAGTGTTTTTCATTTGGTTTTAACCTTTGGTTGTGAATTTTCTCTCCGGAATGGCATTATTTGTGGCCATCTCAAAACTAAACTCCGTTCTCAACAGGCATATTCAGAATAATTGTAGCTGCTCCATAATTGTCCGTGCTGAGGTTGCCATGGGAACTCCCAACAGTCCCAGGTGGCTCCATGGACCCAAACTAGCAAGTCTTTTAACTGCAATATGTACTATTTGTTATATACTTATTTTCCTGTTATAGTATTTTGCTAGTCAAAGCAAAAAGCAGAATATTGAAATAATGCAACCTTATGGTATTTTTAATACTGGTTATGATTTGAGCAGTAATATGTTTTTGCCATTTCGGGCATTGTTCTGTTTTTTATTTGGGGAAAAGAAATGTGCACATTCTAAAACTTCTGTTGTAGGAAGTTATTTCAGTTTTGTCAAGCCCTGTTTCTTGTAATTTGCTGCTTAGTAAAGCACTTCTTGATACTTAAATATCACCTTAGAATAATACTGGTTTAAAAATAGGCTGGTTAATTATTCTGTCTGTCCCCTTCTTTCCACATCACCATCATGGAAAACGTTATTAAAAATAAAGCAGCTGTTATGGTCCGTATCAATGATTTTTTTTAATTAAAAAAGAACAGAGTAGCAATAATCCTTACATGTGGATACATTTACCAAATAC